GTGTTTACAAATTTATGGTAGTGAGTGATACTGTGTAAGAAATAAAGCTGTCTTATATCATACATTCCAACATCTGCGTATAATTTTTCAGTGGGATAAAGTTTCGGTTTTTTAAATATCATTTTTAGAATACTTTTTTGAAAAACATCTAAATTATAGATATGTGAGGAACATGCAGCTCCCCATGCTAATATACCATATGTGAGATGAGGCTCAATCAGTGCATGGTATAATGTTCGAAGATATTTTTCTGTCAATATATTCCCAAGGTATTTAATTTTGTAGGATACAAATCTAACTTTCTTTAAAATATAATTGACATGGATGTCCCATTGTAAGTGAGGATCCAAGACCACTCCAAGGTATTTTATGTTGGGCACTCTATTAATTTGAATTTTTTTATCATTAATATTGAAGGAGAAATTTGTGTAATTTGGCAGATGTCTAGCATAAGATCCAAATGGTAAAAAATGTGTATTAGAGTAGTTAATGCTTAATTTTCTACTGTTAAACCACCGAATAATTTTGATAAAATCATTTTCAATTACATTTTTCAGATCAGACCAGTCAGTGCCTTCATATAATATTGCAGTATCATCTGCAAAACTAGTTATTTTGCCAACACAATTAATTTGGAAAATATCATTTAAATATATATTGAATAACAGCGGATCTAAGACAGTTCCTTGTGGGACACCACACTTAATATACATTTCTTTACTAAATGATCCTGATATCTGCACAGATTGTGGGCGATTTGACAAATAACTTTCGATCAGTGAGTACGCGTTTCCTCTGAAACCAATTCTCTCCAATGCTTCTAATAATAATTTGTGATTAACTGTATCGAAAGCTTTCTTTAAATCAACAAAAATGCAGATTGAAGGGATTCTGTTATCAATATTTTGATGTATTTGATTTACAATTTTAGTTATTGCGTCCGATGTAGCCTTCCCTTCTGTAAATCCATATTGATTTTCACTTAAAATTTTGAATGTTGTATATATATATATATATGAACAGTAGTCATTGCCATTGCCCACGACCAGTTGGGCAAAAAATACAACTAATTGTTAAATGGGGAAATGGCAATTTTTTTTAGGTTTTTGACGATAAGATCAAGCTTTCGGCATTCTCTATGGACCCTTCATCAGGATTCTGAAAACACAATTGTGATGCTAGCAACGAATAAAGGACCGATTTAAATTGTCAAACAACTTACTCGTCGATGAGGTTGCAGCTACAAGGGTGGATGATATTGTTGAAGTTTTTAACAGTTATGATCCCTGCACCCAGTTCACCATCGAAAAAGAAGATGACAATCAATCTGTTCCCTTTTTGGATTCAAGATTGATTCGCACCAATGACAATATATTACTGGTAGACTGGTACAGGAAAGCAATTTCTTCCGGAAGGTTCCTGAACTTCAGGTCTTACCACGAACTTAAAATAAAAATAAACCTGGTGAAACAAATGAAGAACAGGGATATAAATATCTCTGATAGTACTGTCCATCTTTCCAACTTAAGGAAGCTTTCAGTTTTATTCATCAACAATGGTTATCCGAAGTATTTGGTTAATAGAATCTTGTTCAGCTCTCCTCCGAATATTTTGCCAATGACGAATAACAATAGTGAAAATGACAACACTGTTCGGTTCAACCAGACGCCCATGAATTCTTCAACCAATGAGAATAACAGCACTACAGTGGTTGCTCCTATTTCCAGAGTTAATTATGTTGTCTTGCCATACATCAAAGAACTAACACCAAAATTGATCAGGCTGTATAATTCCTTTAATTGTCGTTTTGCTTGCAAATCAGTGCTCACAGTCAACAGTTTGTTGTCCAAAATGAAGGATAAGGTTCAGTTGCTTGATTCAACCAACACTATCGCATTAATTGCAACCACTGTAATTTAGTTTATATAGGCCAAACTTCGAGGTCACTGAAAGGCAGGATAACTTCACCCAAAAGTGACGCCAGATTACATCCAGAGAGATGTGCTTTGGCATCTCATATTAACAACACAGGTCACTTTATGAATTATGGCAGTATTGAGGTTCTTGACAAAGAAAAAAGACTCTAAAAACGTTTATTTTCAGAAATGTCCCACATTTTCATGAAAGATCATTGCATGAATAATAAGGCTGATGTTAAGCAGCTTAGTGTCATTTATTCCTACCTGTTGAATTGCGAACAGCTAGAACGGCTACATATATCCAAATCGAACCAACGTCGTCCCAAAATTAGAATACATTTCCAATTGCTATCCTGGTAATTGAAATTTCTCACTCACTATCTTTAATATAAACTCACATAACCCATTTTTTCACTATCTCACATTCGTACACTCATAAATATGAACTACACAATTTTCCAAAATAAATTAATTCAGCCTTTTTTGTAATTTGGGTGGAGGTTTACCGAGCGTCACGCGTATCTTTTATACCCAAATTGGACAATGAGGTTTACAGTTCCACGTTCCGTCGCGTCAATCACATGTCATCTGTCGACGCATTATCTTTCCGTTTCGTCCCCCTCTCCACGTGTAGCCTTAAGCCTAAAAAAATTTGCCAATTTCCCAATTAACAATTAATTGTATTTTTTGCCCTATATGTATTTATATATATTTATATATACAGGGTGTCCGCAAAATTGGGGTTTTCCTTTACACGACGTGTAGATCTTGAAAACATAAGCAATTTTTCTTAGTACCATATACACCAATGTCTTAAGAGAACCGAGATAAAGGGCTCTGCAACATCAAAAATATCTTAATACCGTCATGTAGCCGCGACCCGCGATATCTCAGACTGGTACCGGCTACTAGCTGAACCCGACGACAGAACTGGGTCGGGGGTCGGGGTCAGTGTGTCAGGTCAGTATGCAACCTTCAACCAACGGTAAAGGGTCACGCGTATAGAGGTAACGAACCCGTATAATCGATTGCGTTTCAAAAAAAAAATAATAATAATGCACACTCATACACCAATAATGAACTCGTTGATATGTTGTTAATTTATGGCGAATGTGTTCAAAATGATACAGAATCGTCGCGAGTGTATGCAGATCGTTTCCCTAGACGACATCATCCAAGGCCCCGCAGATTTGTGTACCTGGTCCAGAGAGTCAGAGATACGGGCCATTTGGAGGAATTTCGAGGTGGGCACAGTGGGAGGCCTAGACAACCACGAATGGTGCAAGTTGAGGAAGAACTACTGAATCGCGTAGACGAGAATCCCTGAACAAGCACTAGAGACGTGGCTAGAGAAGTGCAAGTATCAAAAACTAAAGTGTGGCAAACGTCCAACGTGTACAAGCCCTTCAACCTGACGATTTTCCAGCAAGAGTGCGGTTTTGTGAGTGGTTGTTGCATCAACATGACAATAATCCGGACTTTTTGAAGTGCATATTGGTGACAGACGAATCTACGTTCACGCGTAATGGGGTGAATAACTTTCGATTTCAGGCAGAGACGTACTTAGCCCTTCTCGTCAACTGGAGAGTGAGTACTTTTTCCTTTACTTTTTTTAACTTGGTCGCCCTCGTTTCACTACACATTACCTTTGTTATTTGCAAGGGTAGTTGTTTCTGAAAAGGAAAACCCCAACTTTGCGGACACCCTGTATATATAGGGTGTCCCAGAAGTCGACGTCAAGCCGAAACCGGGTGATAGGCAAAGTCATAACAGCTATCAGAAAAATATTTAAAAAAATTTTATGTGTGTTTTGAAAATTATAGGTCTTTTAAAAAAATAGAGAAATTTCGCACCTTACGGCAGTCTGTAAACACCTGTTACTACAAATATTAACTTTTTTTGGATTCTATTTTTACAATGTAATGTGGATAATGCATCTTCAAACTGGTGTCTCAACCTTACTGCCAACTTTTCTCGTTCAGGAAAAATTGCCACTTATTTCCCAACCAAGTATTCCAAAGTAAAACTTTGCTCAACTTTAACTGGCTGTATTGGAAAAAATGTACTACGAGAGTTTGGCAAGTAACCTTAAAAGTTGGCGCATTTAATAACGATTCCAAAATGGTATAACACTTAGAAGATTACTCGTTAACTTATGCACAATTTTTATTTGAAAAAAAACTGATGAAAATTTTTCAAAATTTCCTAATTAAACAGCGATTATGAAAACGCACAAGAACCCTTGAGGATAACTGTTTGCACAACAGTGGGCGTCAAAATGCTGCTGATGATGATTTACCTTTACAGCAAATGCAAACAGTTATCCTTAAGGGTCCTTGTGCGTTTTCATAATCGCTGTTTAATTAGGAAATTTTGAAAAATTTTCATCAGTTTTTCTTCAAATAAAAATTGTGCATAAGTTAACGGGTAATCTTCTAAGTGTTATACCATTTTGGAATCCTTATTAAATGCGCCAACTTTTAAGGTTACTTGCCAAACTCTCGTAGTACATTTTTTTCCAGTACAGCCAGTTAAAGTTGAGCAAAGTTTTACTTGGAATACTTGGTTGGGAAATAAGTGGCAATTTTTCCTGAACGAGAAAAGTTGGCAGTAAGGTTGAGACACCAGTTTGAAGATGCATTATTCATCACTACATTGTAAAAATAAAATCCAAAAAAAGTTAATATTTGTAGTAACAGGAGTTGACAGACTGCCGTAGGGTGTGAAATTTCTATATTTTTTTCAAAGACCTATAATTTTCAAAACACATACATAAAATTTTTTTAAATATTTTTCTGATAGCTGTTATGACTTTGCCTATCACCCGGTTTCGGCTTGACGTCGACTTCTGGGACACCCTGATATAGATTTCTGTCAAAAGAGTTCACTACGCTTTAAGCTTTTCCAATTCCAAATAAATAATTTAATTGTATACACAGGGTGTAATGTAGACAAACTATCGAAACCTTGGTCAATTTGAAGACTAAATGTTCATATGAGCATGGGTCCGTACCGGCTTTCTTTTCGAGCTAGAGCACTATCACTAAAGAAGTACGAGTAATGTCCTCTATTGACTTACAGCTATGATAACATAATACCTACCACAAGAAGCCAACAGCTGCCTCTATTATCGGCGGAGTATGTTAGTAGTGTCTGATACGAGCTGCAAACTTGGGGGTGATTTCAAGATACGATTGATACAGGTACAGTTTATTAAAAGCATCAGCATAATGAAGAAAACGTGGTATTTCGTTCAAATTTTAATCTCTAATCATATTCTCCTGCAACATGTCAGCATAAACTTTCATATTTTCTCAACAGCCGACGCCGACGCCTGGATCACATTTCCCAAAGCAAGATTTAATCAAACTCTTGCATTTTTACATTTTACATTTTAAAAAGTGCTTAAATGGCGAGAAACTTGGGGTTGAAGCTCATTTTAACCGATGTAATAATATTCAAGACAAGCTGTCAAATTTGTGTGTGTTTTTTTATGATAGAAGTGGCAATCCAAATCCCATAGTTTCTCATGTTAATTTTTTTAATGGGCCTCTCAGCGACCGAACTCGCACTAAAAATTTACTCTATATTTCAGTATTTTGTAATGTGAAATGCTTGTTTGACATTATTTGAATATATTTTCGAATCTCCGTTGCCAAAGTACGTAAATGTTTTTTCCTGGGATCCCGCGGCATCTTCTAAGGTAGCCATTAGTAGGGTACTGAGATTATATTCAGTTTTTCATTTGTTTAAGGCCAATAACTTCACCGAAAGCAGTTCACCAAGCACTTCAGCTGTAGGCGTTAAAGAAGAATCTGAAGGAACGAAACAGGTAAAATGTTATAACCACAAATTAATAAATAGGTCATGTATTATATATTTTTTAGAGTGAACATGAATCGTCTGTTACCAACACGTTTGATATTAGCAACTACGTGGATAAGGTGAACAACTACGTGGAGCATTCTGTAGATATTGCGTCTTTTTTTGTCATAATTCCGAACAAATTGGTCAAGGCTCCCACGAAAAAGCCAAGTCCACGCTAACTGCGGAGATACGAATTTCAAGCAACACATTTTATCTTCGGGGAGCAAAAGCATGTATATATCGCCAGCTGTTCAAAATGAGCTCATCTCAATAGGGTCTCACATACAAAGAAAAATATTAGAGCGTGTTAAAGAAAAAAAATATTTTAGTGTGTTAGCAGACAAAACGACAGACATTTTCCGAGAAGAACAATTTTCTTCATGTGTCAGGCACTATGACGAATCTGTCAAATGTATTCAAGAAGATTTCCTCACATTTGTAACAGTTAATGATGTTAGCAGCCAAGGACTAGCAAACACATTGAAGAGTACACTAATTTCTTTGGGCTTTGATCTTGATTATCTGAGGGGTCAAGGCTACGATGGTGCTGCTGCTATGCGAGGTGCATTCAGGGGAATACAAAGCATCATTTTAGCATAGTTCCCCACTGCAATATATACACATTGCCTTTCACACTGTTTAAATTTATCATTTATGGGCACGCTTGGGTAAATCTAATCATATTTTCGCAATTCGACGAAACGAAGCCAGATTTTGAACAATGAGCTGATTATCTCGAAGAAGAAGCATCTAGCTCTACAAAAATATTGTGAAACCAGATGTGTCGAAAGGCATGAAGCCATAAGCATATTATCCGATGCTCTCGCTGAAATATACCGGGCATTCGATATAATCATAGAAAACGGAGCTGACGATTGTGGAAAAGCGTTCGCTTTCCAGCTTTTAACTTTAACTTTTTGATTACCTTAAACATATTGGAGGGAGTTTTGGCGTATACTATCAGGCTCTCAGAGTATCTGCTATCAAAAAAGATTGATTTTTTGGTTGCCTTAGAAAATGTGAGCCAAGCAACTACTGCTTTGGAAAGTATCAGATGCTGAGAAAGAATTTCAAATAATTTTCAATAAAACCGTGAAATTGGCAAATTATTGATGTCGATGTACGGCTCCCGAGACGGGTCGGCAATTAAAAATATTATGAAAACTATGTCACATAAAGTGCAGAGCAATATTATAGCATATCTATATTTATTCCATTCATTGATGACTTAATAAATTCTCTTAGGGAAGGTTTTTTGGGGCAGAGGGAGTTATAGCATCCCTATATAAATTAATTCCTACAAATCAAAGAGAAGCGAGTTCAAAGATGTGATGGCTGCAATTCAAAAATAGTATAGCGTCTTAAATACCAACAGCGATTCACTGTTACTCGCTGAATTTGCACTCTGGCCAATGAAACATTTGAAAATCCAATAACAACCGCTGTTGATGCTTTACATCAATGTAATCAGGACATGTTTCCTAATATACACAGATTGCTACATATTGTAGCAACATTACTAGTTAGCACTGAATCTGCTGAGAGGAGTTTGTCGTCTCTTAAAGGATTAAAAACATATTTGAGAAACCGAACAGGAGGGATTGGATTGGCTTTAATGTCAATTTACCGTAATATTCAGATTGATACCGATCAAGTTGTTGACGATTTCGCAAAAACACCACTGGAAGTTAAAATTTAAATAATTCTTGTTATTTTCTTTATTCTCTCTGATTTTGTCCTATAATCTTATTTTATTTTTTCCCTGAGATTGTGTTTGTTTATATGTATTATATACTAACTATGTTTTTTATTTTTTCTACTAGATTGTTTTTTATTTTCTTTATAATATATAATATATATATATATACTAACTACAACCCCCCGCCCCCCACTTATTTTCTATATACGCCACTGGCTACGTGTTACAACCATTTCAATAAACCCGAACAAATTAAAAAATGGAAACGTACTCAAATTATTAAAAACTAACACTACATTTTGGGGACAGAAAATTTCTTTTATCACCGTATACTTGTTGCACGTGGTGAAGGTGAATGACCCGGAAATGTGACGTAGTACAGATGACAGATGTACCTCATGAAAGAATGCGTAAGTACACAAATTATTGACAACTTACAATTCTCAAGTGTAGTGCCTACTACGAGGGGCGTTCGAAAATTTCTTACATATTCCCCAAAATGATGAATTAGTGTTATTTTGGCAAAGTGTACTTTATATGAACCATATGATGGTAATGACACATCAGAAAAGATGGGTTGTGTGAAAAATGTATTATTCCAATAATAAAAATTCCTTTATTTTCCCGAATATATATTGGAAATGTGTGGTCTGTTATTGTGAAGATGTTGGAATAACTGGAATATGTAGTCGTTCTAATTTGTCGCAGTTCAGTAAGTAAGAATACGTGATACTAAGTTGCTTAACAGCAGCCTTTTTATTCATACAGTGATCTGTAATGAAAATGTGGAGAATTTCTAAAAATAGACATTTTGAAATGTGTTCTTCTTTGTAGAACCCTAAAACTGCCATAACTCATTGAATGACCTGTAGTGTTAACACGTGATGCCAAAGCACATCTCTCTGGGTGCAATCTGGCGTCGCTTTTGTGTGTTGTCCTGCCTTTTAATGATCTAGATGTTTGGCTTATGTAAACTAAATTACAGTTGTTGCAATTGATGCAATAGACAGTGCTGTTTAAGTCAAGCAATGGAACCTTATCCTTTATTTTGGAAAACACACTCTTAACTGTGAGTACTGATTTACAAGAAAAACGACAATTTAAGGAGTTATATAACCTGACCAGTTTGGGAGTTAATTCTTTGATCTATGACAAGACAACATAGCTAACTCTGGGATTAGAAGCATTCATTCATAATATTATCATTATTATTAGTTAAAGAATTATTGGGGGCTGGAAATGGCGGGGTTGGTTGTCATTCCCATTATTATTATTGGAAATTGGCAAAGGCAAAGGAAAGCTGAACAGGATTCTGTTAATCAAATACTTCGGATAACCATTATTGATGAATAAAGTTGAAAGCTTCCATAAATTGGACAGATGGAAAGTACTGTCGGAGATTTTAATTACCCTATTTTTCATTTGCTTCACCAATTTTATCTTTACTTCAAGTTCATGGTAAGACCTGAAGTTCAGGAACCTTACAGAGGAAACTGGTTTCCTATACCTGTCTACCAGTAACATCAAAAGAGTCTTTTATATAACATTCTCTCTTGATGTGAGCTGACTTTAGAATATCCGCAATGAATGAGGTCACAGCTTGCGTGGCTGAACCAATAGATGCCACTATAGGCCGTATTGAAAGAACCGGTTTGTGTATTTTGAGAAGAACATACAATTTAGTAGAGACAGAATAATAGGTAATTAAGGGCTTCTTTTGGTCCTGATTGATTTATCTAGTATTGAATAGCCTGTTAACAATGTAATTGCAACCTTTCTACTTTAGATGTAGGATCCTTATTGATCACTCTATATGAGTGATCATTCTCAATTAAGTTATTGCAAAGACCAAACATTGTTGTCTTTTGTGACAATTAATTTGGGATGATGTTTTAGAAATTTTCTTCTTATTTTATTTAAAAGGTTATGGAAATTTCCAGGAATAACCGTTTGGATAGATGTTTTCCCTATCAAGAACTTAAGTACTTGTGTAGTGCATCGAGTGTCCTGATGCATTGAAATCTGATGCCAGAGCACATCTCTCAGGCTGAAGTCTGGAATCACTTTTAGGCGATGTTATCCTTCCTTTTAAAGATCTGCAGGTTTGGCCTATGTAACGTATATCAGATTGCAGTTATTACAATTGATGGTGTACACTGTGTGGCTAGGGTCTGTCTTTCATCTTTGAAAGAAAGAATGCAGTTGATAGTGATGACAAATTTACAAGCAATTCGGCAGTTCAACCAGTAGTTTGATTAGTGTGGGGGTTAGTTCTTTGATGTCCCACATTTTCATGAATGGCAACTGTTTGGACAAAAAGGCGACTATGAAGCAACTTAGCGTCATTTACTGATATTTGTTAAACTGCGAAAAGTTAGAATACTTGCATATCTCTCCAAATTTTGATTCTTCGCAACCATAAATGGAATCTGTTTTCTATTCTATTCTTTTCTTCCAAATTCCGTTCTTTTCAAATTAATAATAAGGGTTTCCTCACAATAAATAATTGTTAAACCAGTTTTCTAACTCATCAATAACATGGTTTGTTCAACTGCTTCTGGTTTGTCGATAAGTCTTTAGCTGGCGTTTTCTTAAAAATTATACATTTTCAAGCTGATTTGGAATCATAGCACAATACTCACACACATTCGTTCTATTCATCGACACTGTCACCACCAGCCATTTGCAGCTGTCATGTGCTTCCTGTTACCAATGATCCTGTGACGTGCACCATCTTGTGTGCAGCAGGTGGTTTATCCACCATGTAAAAAAGAGTGTTTTTACTATTTTTAACGTATGCACCATGGATCCAGTTTTCACCAGGCTACTAAATGTTTCCTCCAACCTAACAATAACATTTAGCAACAATCTCACGTACTATTGTGAGTAATGTAGAATCAATTTTGCACTATAGTTGCTATTTTTCCTAATGTTATTGTAGCTTCTGATAATGATGGCATAGCTCATCGAAAGCTCTAGACATAAAGTAGAAAAAGTCCTCCTTGCTTTAATTTTGTAGAAGTACCCAACTATAGGCTGAATCTTTTCTCACTTAATTAGTTGTTTAGACGACAATGCCCACCGCTCACACGATATAGTATATATATATACAGATTCCGATGGTTAGGTCCTCCACTCAATGGCTTTTTAGAGTCGATAGGTCCTCCGTTGAGCTAGGTCCTCCGTATATGGAGGACCTATCGCAAATTCCACCAGTCGGCCTGAGAGGCTCCCCTCTGCCAGCCGGCAAAATTCCAGAGGGATGACCCAGATCGTGTTTTTTGCTAAATTTGGGTAGTTCTAGGCTTTGCCGCGTCGATTTGGTG